CACCCTCGCCGCGGCCTGGCGATCGCTGTCGGACGCGCAACGCGCTGCCATCTTTGCGCAGCTCAGGTCGATATTCGAGGAATTAAGGTCGCTCCCCCCTCCGCCCGGGGTGGGAATTGAAAGCTGCGTGGGCGGCTCCCTGCGCGACTGTCGCATCCTCCGATCCTCGCCCAGATTCGGACCGTTCAAGACGATTCACGAGTTCCACCTGTGGCTCCGCGAGGAACTTCGGCCAGAAGACCACCCAAATCGCAAAGACGACCAGGATTGGAAGGAGATCAAACAAATGGTAGCGAAACAGGACGGGCCCTGGCCGCCCCCCGTCTTCACCCACGGCGATTTGCACCCCTCCAATATTATGGTCCGTGGCGATCGTGTTGTTGGTGTCATTGACTGGGAGTTTTCTGGCTGGTACCCCCACTACTGGGAGTACACTTCGGCGTGGTACGGTCATATAACGCGACATGGGTGGGAAGACGAGATCCTGAAGTTTCTTGATCCCTATGTCGAAGAGCTGGAGATGGAGAAGACGCGGCAGAGGTGGTGGGGGGATTTTTGAAGGAGTGACAAATCCTACTGCAGCCCGAGGCTTCAAACATGCCGTACTCAGCGGCACCTCGGCGCCTAGGGGTTGACAAAATGCGCGCCTGGTTTATTAACCAGGCCCTTGATTGGCTTCCTGCTTGTTCCAACCCCTGCCAAGCGCGGATAACCAACATTATCACCGTATTTTGCGGCCAAATTGGTCTCCGATAAAGGCCACCATTGCCGCCAACGATTGCTAGCAAGGAGGAAGATGGGAGATGACAATTAAAAGGGTAAGCTATAAGAGATCTTGTATCGCCAATGCTTTCTGTACTTGTGCATCTCCCTATCATACAAGGCACTGCTGCTGGTGGTCCACTTTCCTGTAGATACCAGCAACGTCTCTCTCTCCATTGTTGATCATCATCATGGTCTCGAACAAGAAACGGTTGTATATAGCCTTATACCCCAGTGGAGTGGTTGGAAATGAGGAACAAAAGCATGCCACCCCCCACCCCATGCCTTAGATCCACAACTAACCCGGGTTGATACTAGATACCACTGGGGCTTCCTGGCTGGCCCCAAGATTGAAGACGAGGAAGAAGTTTTGGGCATGCGTTACCATGTCAAGAACCACCCATTACATAGCTGGGTGTTCGAGGAGTGTCAGGTCACCAACGTGAAGTCCACCATCAACCTCCTTGCTCGTATCTTAATCGCAAAGGTCGAGGATGAAGAACGGCTCACGGCGATCTTCCGCAACACGCCCGTCGTGAAGGACGACCCAAACTGGCGCTGCCGTACTTGGGTCCAGGCGGTCCTCGCAAGTATTGAGAGGGACGGCAGGGCGGTCGGCACTTCCAACCTGAGCTGGGCCGAAATTGAGCCATTGGGTCGCGAATATGTAGGAAAGAAGGCCGAACGCGGGAGATATGCTGTGTCGCGAATCGGGAACATGAACTTGCCGAAGCCGACGTGGGATATGCTCGAGCACCGGGAGATTGTGCCTTAGACAACCGAATATGGCGAGGTCAGGGAAGGCAGCCGGTCTCACTTGAAACCACCGCGGGGAGAGATCAAGCATTAGAATCAACATCCCAGTACGAGATCAACTATGGACTTTCATCATCTAACAACGGCCTACCCGGGGGCGCCGGCTGCCCCAGACACTAACCACCATACTCCAATCTGACCAGACCAACCCTCGCCTCCCGCCACTTATCCGCCGACCGATCGACCCTTACAATACTACCACCACCGTTAAAAGTCAGAAAAGCTGCCTAGCATAGCATCCAATCCCTATAAAGACCTCGTCCTAGCCCCGCAGCCTTACACGGTGTTCCGATTCTCGCATATAGGTTAGTTTGGTGGGCGGTTTATAGGGGGGTTGTGACTACGTCATGTGGATAAGGGGTGAGACGGGCGCCAGTTATAGGGATTTAGACGCCTTAGTGTGTGGGAAGAGGATGTGGAAGTAGAGGGGGATAGAGCGAAAAGGGCTACAGAGGAATAGGTGTTTGGATTCTGGCTGATGGGGGAATTTATAATCACTAAGAAGTGTGACGGAAATTTGGAGGGGTTTGATGCAGAAAAGTAGTGATTAAAATGTTGTGACTTTTGTTCGAACGATCAGGGCAGGCAGAGGGGGCGTTACGAGACATGATACGTGCACTAGGGTGTTAACTAGGAGAATAGCCACTGGAAATACCACCACAGTTAACCCTGCACCATCCGGTCCTACATGTTTTAATGTATTCAATCTTCCAATTTCCCATCAAATCATCTCCTACAACTAGTTGCAGATATCTTCAAGCGGGAAATTAACATCGCATTACAAGGTACTACACATCAGGGGTACATGGCCAACCGAGGGCGGCCAACCAACTAGACTAGCGACCAACCTATTGTGACCTTTGTTGCAGTCCATGTTCCTACATTTCTCTTTTTGTACACCAGAATCCTGATTTCCAACAGACCAGCTTTTCCCTCCATCTTCCCCACCACAGTCAGGTCAGGTGCAGGGTTCTTGTCCCACAGAAAGACCTCCTGCCTTCAAGACAGTTCTTGCCTAGTTTCGGTCCCATCTTGCTTCCAGCCCTTCTTGTCTCGTCACATTTTCCTATATTTTCATTCCGTTGTTCTGGTGTTCAGCCTGATCCAGGTAAAGACAAGGTCGGCGTACTTGCTACCAGGGGTTAGGGATTTGTATGTGACATTAGCTAGGAGAGGGAAGATGAAGTTACAAACGGCTGCCTTAGGTCTCTAGTCTTCAGGCTCCTGGAGGTTCCGATAAATCTGTACGCCTTACGCTTGGATTCACAAATTACAGTGGCAACCTGACTAAAGGGGGGCTATGGTTGCTCGGCTATGCTCTAAGCGGGACCAGCGCACCAACAACAAGGCATTTCCGTTAATGTAGTTGGTAATATGTCAGACAGGGATGGGCACAATGGGGCCAGGCGTGCATCATCAAAGACATTGTTCAGCCCCTAGGAAAACAGCAGTTCTTAAGTGTATGTTCAAGATTTAGGTTAGCTTTGGGCTCTTGCAAGTCACAGTGGTTGTTTCCTGTGTACTGTAGCGTGGTACACTGTTATAAAAAACACCTATATGTGGTCAATTTTCGCTCCAAGCTCGACTTCATCCTAGCATTATTCGTGGCACACATGACTAATGATTTGGTCCTAGAACTAGAGATATTTAGATCAGCGGCATTTAATGGTGAGATACATGTTGTCCGTGGCAAGTCAGAGCGCAGAGGCTGAGGAGGACGGCAGGTATTATAGATACCTAACGGTAAACGCGGTGCAACTACAACACGGACAAAGCCTTTGTCTTTCTTATTGTACCCGTGATTGAACGCCCAACTGGGTTCTTTGTTTAGGCACATCTCTTAAAAGTTGACAATGACAGGAACCGACCGTTGCCCCCAAAGGTTTGGTCGACAGGCTATCCCACGTGTAGCACAAGAACTCACAAATCTAGCTGAAAGTCTGACAACCCACACCTGTACGCCATTGCGAAGGGCGATCAAACGTATAAAGTTAAAGAACACGACAAGCTAGCTCGGGCAAAATGGCATATTATCGCCGAAGAAACGGCCAGAGTAGTAGGCAGAACTATCAACAAGAGAATAACGGACACAGTGAGGAGAACCATTACCAGAACAATCAAAGCCATTACCAGGGCTATCAGGGCAATGGCCAACAAAACCAGGGACGGCAAAGAAGATCCAGACGCAACCTAGATGACGGGCAGAATAGCCATGGGCAAAACCAGGGGCAGGGGCCCCAGGGGCAGAATGGCGGCTGGCAGTTCAACGGGCAAGCCCAATATCAGCAAAGGGGACAGAACCAGCAGCCTCGACCACAGCAACATCCGCCGCCACGTCAGCAAGAACCGCAAGGGCAACATCAACATCGGAATTCCCGATCTCCTCCGCCTCCCGACCAGCAGCAGCAGCAGCAGCAGCAGCAAGAGGCGATGCTACAGGGATACGTCGAAGAGGACGAAGTGGACATGTACGATGGCCCGGCAGCTCCTCCAACCTATTGGGCAAACACCGGGCCCGAAAGTGCGTCATATTGGCCAACCACGCCCCCTGAAAGTGTGGCATACTCCGGCCACGGTTGCCCACAGTGTCACTTCCTGACGAGCTGGCTTGATGCGAGCGCCGATGGGCCCCTCTCGCCAAACCTTCACCAACGGCTGGAATGGTCCCAAGCACACTACGACCTCCGCGCAAAGTTCGCGCACGACTGGCACGTCAGCCTGCAACGCACATTCCACGAACAGCTAGCCAGAACATACCAACTCCAACAAGAAGCGGCAGAACTCCAAGCCGCCATCCAAGAATCCCTAGAGCTGCAGGAGCAGCTGCAACAACAACAACAACAACAACAGCCAACCTCCGCTCCCGCGCCCACGCCTCCCCGCACGCTCGACACCGCAGCCCTCGCCGACCACCACGCGCAGACCGTCGCGCTCCTCGCCGCCCTCCAAGACTCCGAAACCCTCTACCGGCAGCACAACGAAAACGGCCCCGACCAGCACGTCGCGGCCGCGGCCGCGGCCACCGGCTTCACCGCGCTGCGCACCACCGCGCAGCGCGTGCAGGGCATCATCCGCGGCTTCGAGCGGCAGTCGCAGCAGGGCGGGCATTTCTGGTGGCTCGGCGCGCGCGAGACGCGGCTGTGCGAGCAGTGGCGCGGCATCTGCGACACGTACCTGCAGCAGGTCGCGGGGATCGAGCAGCAGGTGCGCGCGGAGGGGACGGCGGGCGGGGGGGAGGCCTGGGCGCGGTATAATGCGTGGTTGGGGGGCATGAAGGGGCTGTTTGATGGGTTTACGAGGGGGTTTTTGGGGTGAGGCGAGTGTGTGTGGGGGGTGTGGACCCTGAGGGGTGATCAAGGTGTGGGAAGGGGGCAGTGGAAATGGGAAGGGGGAAGGAGGAAGGAGCGAATCGGCAAAAGGTGAGGACCAGACGCGATTTGAACGCGTGACCTACCGGACTGCAGCCGGTTGCTCTACCCCTGAGCTACTCGTCCTGTGGTGAATAGCGATGGAACAGCGGGTAGAGATACGGGCTAGGTTTCGCTGTTGTAGGGGAATGTTTTCTTTGTCAGATTAGGGGGTAGAGAATGATTATAATTGCAACTATCTTGATGCATTTTGGCCAATGTGGTTCGCTATCTGAGATCGCAACAAGCAATATCCGTAGCGACATCATCTACAACCGTTAGGACTCTAGTTCTGCTATACGCGAGTTCAAAAGGCGTGGGATGTTTAGATTGACCGAGTTCTGTACTGGCACCTTTTCCCCTATCTTGAATGATGTAACCCCTGGCATCGTGCTGCTCCTCCACGACTATACCAGCTTGAAAGTACATAATTCTTGAGGCCCACCTCTAAAGACTGGTGACAGTTGGCCTAGAAGTTACTTCTGTAGCAGCTTGCTAGTCCCTGGGGAATGTCTTTATGTTATTTTGATTTTCGATGGCCCATCGCGAGTGTTGGCAGTTGTTTGTTCGTCATCTTAGACACATACCCCTAAGCGGCTAGGTCTGAACATTGCATCTAACAGGGGACTGCACCTTTGACTGCCAGCACAGCGACAGCGTTAGGTGCATTCCATAAAGACCCGCAGTCTTGTGATACAGCTGAAGATGTGCGAGTAACCCCTGCCCCTCTCCAGATTTCATCACGAGTTCACGGCCATGATGTCCCTATGCCGGCCCAGAAACCCTTTCGCTGCCTCGACAAAGCCGTCCAGCTCCTCATCCGGTGTCTCCAATATCAACGCAATGAACCCCCTCCTTGTCGTCCAGAACCCAGCCTCGAGCATCTCGAACCAAAACAAATCTCTCAAATCCGGCCTCTCCTTCCAACAGATATCCTCGGCACAACTAATCTCCTCGGTCCCATCCTCTGTAAAATGCAACCCAATCAATGACCCACGTCCTGTAAAGCTCAATCTCGTCCCCCTTGCCACCTCCTGTAGCCTCTCCCGCAACCTGTCGCCCCGCGCATTGAACTCGATGTTCACCTCGGGCGTATACACGCCCTCTAGCGCCGCATACCCCACACACATCACCATCGTATTGTTATTGAAGGTCCCCGAGTGTGCCAGCGCCCCGGCCACTCTCGGATCATACACCCGCATGACCTCCTCCCGCCCGCCAAACGCCCCAAAGGCGAACCCCCCGCCCAAATACTTGCCCAGCACCACCAGGTCCGGCGTCAAGCCCATCTCAACCCCCAGCCCCCCAGGTGCCAGCCGCGAAGTCATGACCTCGTCCAGAATAAACACCGCCCCCTTCTCCCTCGCGGCCTCCTGCACCCCCAGCAGAAACTCCCTGCCGCCCACAATACACCCGCCCGCCCCCTGCATCGGCTCCACCAACACCGCCGCAAGGTCCTCCGTCCCCTTTATCGCCGCCCTCGCCAGCCCCAGATCATTATACCGCTCCACGACCACAAAGTCCCCCCTATCCACCGCATTCTCCGCCGCCACCCCGCCCGCAAACGCCAGCACCGCGCCATGATACCCACCACTAAACACCACGACCGCGCGCCGCCCGGTATAGCGGCGCGCAGCCGCGAGCGCATGCAGGTTGGCCTCGGTGCCGGAGTTGGCGAAGCGCACGCGGCCGAGGCGGAAGCGCGCGCACAGCAGCGCGGCAAAGCGCTGCTCGTGGACGGTGGTGCCGCCGAGGCCGAGGCCGACGGCAGCGAGCGTCGCGGCCGCGGCGGCGTGCACGGTCGGGTGCGAGTGGCCGTACAGCGCCGCGGACAGCTCGCCGACCAGGTCGAGGTACTGGTGGCCGTCGGCGTCCCACACGTGCGGGCCGCGGCCGCGGGTCAGGGTCAGGGGGAAGGGCGCGGTGTGGAGGAGGGTGCGCGTGTTGCCGCCGGGGAGTGAGGCTGTGGCGGTGGTGTGGTGGTTGGCGGAGAGGGGGTTGGATGTGGTGAAGCGGGCTTGGGCGGCGGTTAGGGCGCGGAGGGCGGCATTTTGCGCGGGGGCGGGGGCGGGGTAGGTGGTTGTGTTGCGGGTTGTCATCGTCGGCGGCGCTTGGAGTTTTGGGCGGAGAAGAGGTTCCTGGGCGACGCAGTGGTGATATTGTTTATGAGGGAGAACTTGTGGGACGGCAGGAAGCAGGAAAACTAGTGACATTCGTGGTGGTGGGTGTAGGAGGAGGAAGCAAGCCAAAGTGGGCTGTGTGGAAGGCAAAGGTAGGTAGTGGGGCAGACCTACCTACTACACCCCCCTACAGACAGCCCACTGCCCGTTCTATCTCCAAACTATCTGGGCTAGTATATATAGGAATCCTTGGTGTTTTGCTACTATTTTCATCTATTATCCATTATTAATCTATTCCTCTATCTAGGTAGTGAACAAGCTTAGATTAGTATTTATCCTGCTTGTAAAAAGGATCCTCCTTAGGTTAGGCTCCCTAAGAGCAATAAAAGCCTTCTTCGTAGTGGTCGAGGGGGTCTTAACGCCCGACTGTTAATATAGCGGGCTAGTTGACAAGGACTGTTCCTTCTTCTTCTTCAGGAGTTCGTCCTTGCGGTACTAGTTATCTAGAGCTAGCTTAGGGTTGTAAATCTAGTAGTTGCTAGTAGGGCTACCGCTAAGATACCTGCCGTAGTCCTTGTAGTGGCGCTAGCTAGTCTTGATTATTAGGGTGTAATCCTTGCACTTGACGAGGGTTTCGTCGTTCTTCTTAGGTATAGTCACGAAGGCCGGGCCTTCGTTCTCGCTAATAGCTTAAGCCTAGAGCTCGGCTATTAATTCGTTCTAGGTCAGGGTATCGATTCGGGTAACGTAGCGTACATAGAGGTCGTGGTAAGTCGAAGCTATACCTTTTAGCGTAAGCTAGGTGTAGGCTTTGTTAGTTATCTTGAAGTCTAAGGTCTTAAGGCGCTCCTTGAGATAGTTAATCCGGGTCTAGAAAGCAGGGAGGGAGTCGAAGTTATTGTAGCGAGTAGTGACGAGTTTATAGTGTATCTTAACGAACGCGTTAACAGTGCTTCTCTTAAAGTACTAGACAAGCTTGTCGAAAGTCTTCTTCGAGTTACTTTCTTTAGTAGACTATCTAAGGCTACGTAGGGCGTTCTAGATAGTATACCTAGGAACAGTAGCTTAGATATAGTCGTTAACGTCCAGGCAGTTGTTTATCTAGGTATAGCGAGTAGTAGCTTCTTTAGGTTCTAGGATAGTACTAAGTAGGTACTTATCGAGGTTGTAGCGAGAGAGTATTTAGGTTAGCTTCTCGCGCTACGAATTAAGGTCTTCGGTCTTAGTAAGCTTCTTAATAAGGGGAATCTTCTAGGTAGAGGCTGCTTGCTATTGGCTCTAGAGCAATGTAATTTGCTCTTGCTAAACCTTTAGTAACTTAGTTAAAGTCACGAGGGTAGTAGTAAGATCAGCTATCTTATAGCAATTCGGGTCGGTCAGATCGGGTTAGGTTAGGTATGAAAATCGTGGATTTTAGGGTAGTTAAATCAGTCGCCTAGAAGCTAGAGAATTAGGTCGGGTCAGGTGAAAATCGTAGAATCCAGGGTAGTTAAATTAGTTGCCTAGAAGCTAGAGATTCAGTTAGGTCGGTTCAGGTGAAAATCGTGGAATCTAGGGCAGTTAAATCAGTCGCCTAGAAGCTAGTGAAATTCGGGTTGGTTCAGGTGTGAAAATCGTGGATTTTGGGGCAGTTAAATCAGTCGCCTAGAAAGCTAACGAAATTCGGGTTAGTAAAACTCAAGCAGTAGAAGCAAGAGGGCGTATAACCTGTGGGACGGCAGGAAGCAGGAAAACTGGTGACATTTGTGGTGGTGGGTGTAGGAGGAGGAAGCAAGCCAAAGTGGGCTATGTGGAAGGCAAAGGTAGGTAGTAGGGCAGACCCACCTACCACAGAACTCCATTCCTGCGCCTCTCATGCCCCTCATATTGTGGTCGGGCAGGATATGTTGGTCGGCCCGTGCTATCTCGATTCACGGCCCGAGTCTCCACTATAGTAGGGAACCGATCGCCTCTTGTATTAGTCAACACCTCTTTCTTCATATATTAAGTATATATATTATTATTTGTACTCCGATATGCCTTATAGCGCGCCGGTCCTGCTACTACTTTATTTATAAAGGAAACTATACCCTATACTAGGGCTAGATGAAAACCCCTGTCTATTAAGTATATATATTATTTTTATTATGTATTTATACCTTAATATGCCTTACGGCGCGCCGGTCCTGCTACTAGTTTATATATAAAGGAAACTATACCCCCTGAATAGGGGGCCGGGTAAAAACCCCTACCTACGCTTCTGCTTTAGCGCTTTGAATCTATTATACTACGTGTAAAAGATAGCCCCTATCTCCCTTAGCGGCTCGGTTCGGCACTTCCTATACCCTCTCCGCTACTCTTAGCTGCTTTTATAGCCTTCGTAGCTTCTAGTTATAGCCTACAAGCAACGCTATACTCCGTTAGGCGCCCTAAATCTATTAGCTAGCTAATAACTACCTTTACTAAGCTCTTATATAGCTGTATAGCTTGCTATAAGACAAGCTATAGATCCTATTGTAACTATATTTGTAATTCTTCCTAGGTTCTATACTTTTGTAGATCTTTATACTATACTACTAGGTACTTGATCGTTTCTTTGCCTTTGCTACACTTATAGTATAGTGTAGTAATCTCTAGGACGTTTACCCTATTTAGGTACTCCTAGAGGCTAATATCCCCACTACGCGCCTAGGCGAGCAGCGAGCTCTAAGACTTACTTAGACCCTTATATCTCTTAAGGGCAAGGTCTATAAATAGTTATATTAGGGGGTCCTTGTCTACTAAGCGGTATATAGGTCTTCTTGCTCTTGTTATAAGCGTAGCGTACCCCTCCTAGGCTACTATCTTACGCTCCTACTAGGTAAGTTCTACTACTCTATTTGTATTAAGGGTCTTATTCTTTAGCTTCTCTATCTTCTACTTTTACTTAGCCTACTTGTTCGCTATAGCTACTACTTTCTTAACTACTATTAGCCTCTATAGGCCTAG